GCCCCAGCTTCCTGGGGAAGTGTAGCAAGAAAGCTGTCACCGCCTGGGTTCCCGCCCCCCCCTTCATCAGGGACACCCCAAGCGACGAGTGCCAGCCCCGGACACACCAAGCGACGTCTACTCCAAAGAGGATCCCCGTGCTGGGTCTGCGGGACACTCGCAGTGATCATGTCTCCCCGAACTTTACAATCCCAGTACACTGGCAGCTTCCAAGTGTCTTTGGATATTTGGTGGGACTTAGGACTCAGGGGATGAAAAGCTGGTATCCAGAAAAGAAAAAAAAAAAGGAAAAGGAAGAAATAAGGGGAGGGTGGGGTGGGGGGAGATCTTCGAGGTGAAAGGGATCTTTAGCTGGGGACGCCCGCACCGCCCAGAGACGTGGAAGCGCGGTTGGGGAACTTGGGCGCTGGGGAGTTTGAGATCGCCGCCCCCCCCAACCCTCCCCCTGTTTCGCCGCCTCCTTTCCCACCGGGAATTGCTCATTCTGCTCCTCCGACTCCCTCTCCTCTTCCAGGGATGAGAAAAGTAAAGGGGTGCGGGGTACATCTGGAGCCCGCCCCCCCCCAGGTCATGTGGACAGGAGGTATATGTTTCACTTAAGTTAGTTTCCTCTCCGGCTCGGAACTGTTCGCGGTGACAGTTCTGGCTTTCTTGCTGACTGCACTCCAAAAAGAAATAATAAATTAATAATAAAAAAAAACACCCTGCCCGAGAGAAGGGGGAAAAAAATAGGCCGGTGACACGGAGAGCAGACTGCGCATGCGTTGGTGACTCCCCACCAGGTTGCAAAGTCGAGGGGTGGAGGGGGGGGTTGGCGGGGGTGGGAGTGGGGGAGAGGGGAAGAGAAGGGGCTTAGTTTGGGAATCCTTTGGGAAAGTCAGAAAAATCCACTAACATCCCTGCAACCCTTGGGCAGACAGAAGCCACATTCGCCCTAAGGCTGCTGAAATAAATCTTTTAGGAACCACTAGCTCTACCCTTTTTTATGACATTGCCCTTCGAAACCAAAAATAAAAATAGTATTTACATTACTCGTGCAAGCTGCTGGCACACTGAACTCTTACTGTTCTATGTAAATTGTAGGGTTTTTTTGCCACAATTCTATGATTGTTCTTTAGAATTTTGACCCTTCCCAATAAAAAGGTAAAAAAAAATCCAGTTGGGGGAGGGGATTTTTAGATTATTTTGAAGTTTTATTAGATATTTGTGGTTTGGATTTTCTATTATGGGCCCTGTTCGTTTTATAAATAGGGGGGAAATGTTACTTTCAAAAGATTGTGTGATCTTTTAGGACAGTGACTGTATCCTTTCTCACTTGGTGGTGGTGGGAAGCCAGCACGCTGTTTACACAGTGTTAAACAATAAATTCCCCTGACCATTTCCTTTCTTTTTGGACACCCTCCCAGGGCAGTTTCTCTAGCATCCTATGCAGATTCCATCAACAGCATAGCATTCCCTAGACCTTCATTTTTGGCAAGCACAACAGTCTTCCTCCCCCCCCTCCCCCTCACACACCTTATTCAAGGGGCTTATTTAAAAAAAAAAAAAAAAACCACCATGGATACCCAAGGGCTGAGATGTGTGCTTGACTAGCATGCACAAGATTCCCGGTTCCACATCTGAACGTGTGAATAGCACCAAACCAATACTATTTTGTTCCCATACATACATACAGTAAAGCTTAACATACAAATTAGGCACATTTAAAAGCAACAAGAGCTAATAATGAAACACAACATAATGGCAATACATTATGAAGGAAGTTATTTAAAGCTTATGCATTGTTTATTTCTGGAATTTTCCATTTAATATTTGGGCTGCTTGTTCACAAGGGTAACTGAAACCACAGAAAGCAAAAACATTAAGAAGAGGCAACTACTGGAAATCTTAACTACCTTTACATAACTGTAGAAACAAAACCCAACACATGTGCATTACCACCACTCAAAGTGTTTAATTTCTAGAAATTCAGTGGAAAAGAAGTTTCATCAGAAAGGAAGTGTAGAGCAAACTAAAACTATGAATTGTGTTTCAGATAGCATCACATCATCCTTGAATTGTTGTAGAATATTTCCAAATTCCACATTATCATCACTATGATAGTAGACAGATCTGGATTTGGAGTCCAAACTTCATTGGCTTCTAACAACATAACCTTAGCTGATCTTGTTTCTCTTCAATTTCCATTTCCACATCTGTAAAATGGGAACCATATTCTTTACCTCATAGAGATGAAAGAACTAAATGATTGCATGCCTTGATACCCAAGATACAGCAACATACCCAGAGCTTTCCAGAAATGTAGATTTGGGAGCTATATTCCTGGACTACATAAATCAAATCCTGAATTTTAATAAACAGATGTGTGTTCCCATACAAGTCTGAAAAGCAGTGATAAAATGTGTGATGCCTGATGCAATAAGAATTCAATAACCATCATCCAACTAGTAGCTGGAAAGCTCAGAACGTATTGCTGCATCTTGGGTTGCAAAACATAGAATCAGCAATGAGCTGGCCACAGATGGCGCATGCCTGTAATCTTAGCTACTTGTTTTTCCACATCTGTGTGCTGTCAGTGTTCAAAGCCAGAGCTAGCCATTGCAGTAACTGCCTTAGGCAGCTCACTGATTTCGATGTCTTTCTCTCTGTTACACCCCAGCACTTTGAAGTTACTTACCTCAAATTCCAGACCAACCTTGGTGTCTCTTCCTTCTCATTCTTCCAACTCTGTGTGCACTTGTGTATGTGTGTGTGTGGGCACACACGTGCACACATGTGTGCACACTAGTCTTGGTGCTTGAACTCAGGTCCTGGGTGCTGTTCCTGTGCTTTTGTACCACTTGAGCCACAGCTCTACCTCCAGTTTGTTGGTGATTAATTGGAGATGAGTCTCACCAACTTTCCTGCCCAGGCTAGCATTGAACCTCGATCCTCAGATCTCTCTAAGTAGCTAAGATTACAATCGTGAGCCACTGCCACTCAACCTATTTCAATTTACAGAAACATTTAAACTTGCCATCTGGGATTCAGAAACCCAAACTTAATTAAAGACACAGAAATATAAATATTGTAGACTGCAGACTGAAATCCGGGCTGTTGGTCTACCAGGTTAATTTTCTTCAACAATAATCAAATGCAGTTCAATTTCACAAACACAAGGATTGCGAGCTTTAGGTGTATGTAAACTTGATACTTTAAATAATAAATCCCAGCTGGGTGCTAGTGACTCACATTTGTAACACGAGGAGGCTGAGATCTGAGGATCATGGTTTGAAGACAACCTAGGCACAAAAGTCCCCATGAGACTCTTATCTCCAGTTAACCACTCAAAAACCAAAAGTGGAGCTGTGGCTCAAAGTAGTAGAGTACTAGCCTTGAGCAAAAGAGCTTAGGGACTTTCTACTTTGTTTTTTATTTTTTTTCCTTCTAATTGGTTGGCTTTGATGGCTTCAGATTCTTTGTTGGATCTTTGTTTTGGATCTTGTATGAATTTCTTTACTTCTTTAATTTGGTGTTCAGTGTTTATTCTCAAATCACTTACTTAGGAGTGTAAACTTGTTCAATCACTTTGGAAAGTAGTATGGAGGTTCCTCAAAAGACAGCTCCCCTATGACCCAGCAATCCCACTTTGGAGCATTTACCCAAATGTTTACAAACAAAACCATACTAAAGCTACCAGCACAACTATGTTTATTGCAGCATTATTTACCACAGCTAAGATATGGAACTAACCCAGATGCCCCTCAGTAGATGAATGGATCAAGAAAATGTGGTATATATACACCATGGAATTCTATGCTTCCATCAGAAAGAATGACATTGCCTCATTTGTTAGGAAATGGAAAGACTTGGAAACAATTATATTAAGTGAAGTAAGCCAGGCCCAAAGAAACATAGGTCCCATGGTTTCCCTTATTTGCAATATCTAGTATATGTGTGAGTTAAACAGAAAAGGTCAGATAAGGTGATGTTAGGAAAATGAACCCTAAGATATGTACTTTAAATGTTTTTTTTCTTTCATGCATTTGTTTCTAACGCAATTATAAGATTATTTCTTTGTTCCTTTGTATGTCCCTCCCCCACAGTATAACCCCTGCTTTCACTGTATTTGATGTCAGTATAATTTGTGGAGGGGAAGGGGAAAAACAAGTCATTTAAATAAGGACACAGGTGGACCCGTTGCAACAATGAGAAGTACAAGTTGTCATGTCAAAAATGAACTTTACAACTTGGGGAGGAGGAAGGATTGGGGGAAGGGAGGGAGGATGGGAAGGAATGGGAAGGGTAAACAAAGGAGGAGGCTACAATGCTTGATAAGAAATGTACTCACTATCTTGCCCATGTAATTGTAACCCCTCTGTACAGTATTTTCACAATAAAAAAATTAAATTAAAAAAACAAAAAAACCCAAAACAAA